GGTTGGAGGTGATGAAATAATTTTCCAAGATGACAATGCATCGTGGCAAAAATGGTGAAGGAATTCCTTGGAGAAAGACACATTCAGTCAATGTCATGGCCTGCAAATAGTCCAGATCTCAACCCAATTGAAAACCTGTGGTAGAAATTGAAAAAAAAAAAAAAAAAGGTCCACAAGAAGGCTCCGACCTGCAAAGCTGATCTGGCAACTGCTATCAAAGAGAGTTGGCACCAAATTGATGAAAAATACTGTTTGTCGCTCATCAAGTCCATGCCTCAGAGACTGCAAACCGTTATAAAAGCCAAAGTTGGTGAAACTAAATACTAGTGATGTATTTTGAATGGTCTTTTGTTTATCTGCTTTTCACGATTACATACATTTTTCCTCAGAATTTAGTGATTCCATACTTTTTTTTCCTTGTTCTTGGTCAATAAAAGTAACATTCACTGACTTTCACAATGTTTTCTCTTCATTTCTTTGAGTGTTCCTGAAAGCCAACAAGTTGCACTTTGGAATGACCTTATTATTGTATCATGTTTTTGATCTGAGTTTGTTTTACAGAAYGAAATGTCTGAATGAGTGCTCATCCAAGACTGGTGATTCCATACTTTTTGCCAGGGGTTGTTGTCCACTTTATGGATGATTTTTAGGATTACAGTACACGAATAAATACTACAGTATACCAGAGCTCTAGAGTGCGACCAATTTGGTCGCAAATGCGACCTGATTTCCTAATAGTGCAACTAAAAACAATGTCCGGTCGCACTGGTGCGACAAGTCGTTTGACAGCGGAGGGGGAGCGGTCGCCTGCTGAAAAAAAAAAGTTTCCATGTTCCATAAAAAAATAATCCAGCAGTAATGGTCGCCCACCGACAGTCTCCATCTCTCCTGACACTGCGCTCTGCTCGCGGGCTCCGCTCCACACCTCCCACGCGCACACACATTTGTTGTTCTATCCTCATGAGGACTTTGCATTGGCTTCCATTCATTTCCCTGTCAATTCTATAGCCAACCATAACCTCCCAGGTAGGCTACACACCTGACCCAAACCCTAACCTCACCAGGCTTTGTGTACCGGGGAAATGGTCAATAATTGTACCCATCATGAAGCAAAAATCTGTACACACGCGCGTGCACACATAGCGAAACAACCGTATTTTATTTTTAACCCAGATCGGAGTCTGAAAAACAKTTCTTTCTTGTTAGCAGGAGATGAAAACAAGATGTKGATGGYTGCTCACTCTTAAGTCCTTGTTAATTTAACAGTCAGGGTCTGAGCGCTGCAGATCACTTGAGCAGGACGAGGAAGCTCACGTGTATGGCAGGCCAGTTTTGCACTTATTCGACTTCACCACAGTTACATTCCAAGTATCTGAAATAGGTTCTTCTGGGTCTCAGGAGGATAAAACTAGACATATTAGATATTTAAGTGAAATAATATAAGATAATAAGATTCAACTAATGATGAAATTGCAGACTTTTATGTGTTATTTTAAAAAAATCTGCACAACCTTTTAATAAATATCAGTAATATTTGTTATTAATTAATATTCTCTGTTCATCATTCTGGTTTATCCAAGGCCAAATATCCATAGTTGTCCATCTGAGGGGCATGTGTCTAAAAACATGTAACCATGAAATGTTTAAGATGTTTATAATATGTTCAGCTCTTAAACATTTGCACTTAGAATTTTATTGAATCACTTTAAATACTTTTCAGTAAGTTAAATGTCTACAATTCTGGTTCAAATAAAGAACTTTATGTTTACTAGATTGTTAACTAATTATTTTCGAGTTAATGWCTTAATGAACAGTGATTAAAAAAATAACCTGTAAAACTCTGATGTTAGGCGACGTGGTTGAAAATTTGAGTGCACCTAAGATTTGTGCTGGTGCGCCTAAGAAAAAACGTTAGGCGCACCGGTGCAACCAGTGCAAAAAGTTAGTCTAGAGCCCTGTATACAAAGGCTTACTGCAGTACTTTACAGTTCAGTAAAGTACTACTGTATATAAAGGGCCTCTGTAGTACTTTACAGTTCAGTAGTACAAAAAAGGCTCACTGCGGTATTTTACAATTCAAATAAAGTTCTACGTTGTACAGGGTTAACTGTAATAGTACTTGTAAATATTTAAATGTATTAACGTGTATTCATCAGGTGAATTAAACACCACATGTTAAACCAGGTGTGTTCTGAGTTTCAAAGAAAGCTGTTTAGAGCAGACCCCTCAGTCAGCTCCAGTAGGGGTACTCACAGTGGATCTTGTAGTCCTTGTACTGCCGGTCTTCAATCGCCGTCACATACAGAGTTGCTCTGTCAGGAAAGATGAGTCCATCTGGTTTCTGTTGAGGAGGAAGTTCACAGGTTAAGGCTGCTGCTCAGTATGTTGAGTAACATTAACACCAGCTTAGTGTGTCTGTTAACAAAATATCTTATGAACCACTAGATGATTCTTTTTCCAACATTAAATAATAATTAGAAGCACTGAATCAGAACTGAATAACTTCAGTCTAAGATGGCCGCCACATCTAAACCTTAGCCAGTATTAAATGAACCAAGTCAGTTTTACAGATCTGGCACTAAACTTTGGTGTGGTAGCAGCTCTAGCAGCAGAACTCAGCAGGCCTCAGTGTGTTAAAGATAAAAACTGATGTGGTGTTAAACACAATCACAAAACTATGAGCTGAAGAACTAAAGGTTCTGATGGAAAAGTTCTTAATGAACTGGAACCAGGTCTAAACAGAGTCTGACCCGACACAACCTACAACCACAGAACCATCAAATTAGTGCTTTAGACCATTCAATAATCATTAAGAAGAAAAAGTATCAGACCTACCAGCCATTTGTCCCGGGCATAGATGACCGTGTTGAGCATGGACTCATAGAAGAGACAGTAGCCCATCCACTCTGAAATGATGATGTCCACTCCCTCCACAGGCAGCTCCACCTCCTCCACCTTCCCTTTAATGATGGTCACCACTGCAAACAACAACAAACTAATGTTCCAATGTTCTCTAACCCAGAAGATCATCCACACTTCATCTACTCACCATCGTCCAGGTTGTTGGCTTTGACTATTTTCACAGCGTAGTCTGAGATGCTGCTGCACTCGATCTGTCAGGAGCAGAATACACCAGAGTGTGACCCACAGAGCTGTAATCGGTCCGCTACATTTAAACCCAGAACAAACCCGAGTCTGGAGACAGACTCCAGGTCTGCACAGACAAGTAGGTAAAGAAAAAAAAAAAAACAGAATCTGCATATCTCTAGTTTTGATGACCGAAGTATTTAGTGCGAAACAGAACGGTGAAACCCTGCTGGTTCGTCTCAGATGAAACTGTCCAGTTAACATACCCCTATAACCTTCTTGGCTCCAGCTTTGGCAGCAAACATGCAGAGGATGCCCGTCCCACTGCCCACATCCAGAACCACCTTATCTTTGAACAGGTGCTTGTTGTGGAACATGGAGTTACGGTAGGTCAAAGTGCGAACTTCATCTTTCAGCATCTCCTACAGAGAGAAGGAGCCAACACAGGTTTTAACCATGGTACGGTAGACCAGTTAGATGTAAACAACAACAAACCCAACTCACTTCATGGATTCCAAAGTGAGCGTAGGAGTCAAAGTAGTAGTCCTTTGACGTCATGTCTTCGGCTGCAGGTTTCACTGAGCTCTCCCCCTGAGACACCTCAACAAAGACAAACAATTATTACCTGAAGCAAAACACACACATTTTATTAACTATTTTTTTCAAAGAATGTTTGACATTAACAGTTAAGTTTTTGCAAATAAACATCTTACAAATTTTTGGATTAAAATAAACATTTAATCCAATTCTGTCTTTTTAAACCCAGTGTCTCTTTTAATCAGGATTTGTGGTTTTCTCCATAAAATGCCTGCAGAACAAAATCTGCAGCTCAGAGATATCTTTTCAGAAGTAGATGGGATGTTTTTTTTTACGTTTTTTTGTCTCAATTATACATCAAAAAATACTGAACAAAAAAATTAAACTAAAATCAGATGACCACCAGTTTTCTGACCCTCACCTTTCAAGAATTATTAGGACCTGAAATAGTTTTTTTTAACAGCGACTTCTCTATACAGTTTTTTGACATCTCATTAACCGAGTCAGGGAGCGACAGACACAGGCTTGTGGTCACCATGGTGCTACAGCGCAGCATCAGTTTTTCCCTTTTTTTTCTTACAGCTTATAAATCAAATGTTGGCATTTTTTTTTAACTTAAATTGAGTTTTGGACAGAAGCTGTGTGGACACTTCATCCTTTCATCAGTACGATGTGAACACATTAATCTAATAATAAATTTCATAATTTGACCTATTCTGAAAAAATAAACACTTAGTTTAAAATGATACAGTATTTAAATAATACATTTTTATTATACAACTATAGTGAGTGGCTGGGAGGTGAGTGTCAGATGGAGCACGTGGTAACCAGACCAGTTCAGGTATTAATCTGACAGATAAATTGTTAAATATGTATATTTTTTAATTTTACAGGCTTCAGGAAAACCTTATTGGTCTCTACAGCCGCTGACGCTTATGGGCTTTAGACTAAATCCGATCGGATCTTTACTGTTATACTCCAACAATAAAAAATAAAAAGCAAAGTGTGGTTTACAAAGTAAAGATGTTCTGAGTTCGGCGGTGTCTGATCCAACCAGCGTTAGCCGCTAACTGTTAGCTCCGGGCTAACACGCGTTGGACCCATGCGGTCCCACAGGCTCGGTACTCAGAGCCGGGAGGATCCAACTAACATTCGTCTGTTACTTAATCTAAACTACGATGACATTAAATATTAATATCCCTACAATACCACGACATTGATCAAACAGCTCAAATATTTTTATTTTTCTGCTTTGTTCAAACTGCGACACGAAATGAATGAGCGGCAACATCAGGCGAAGTTTTAACAAAGACGTCGGTGTTTTATCGGTTTAGGTTGTAAAAACTCAGATGAAGACACTGAAACGCATCACACAACCTATCCTGGACTGAAAAGACGYGTGTGTGATGTTTAATGAACCATTTTGTCGTACTTTCTCCGGTAAGACCTTACCTCCATCCTTTCAGCTGGCGCCGCCATTTCCATCTTCTATCAGCTTAAGACTTCTTCTTCGTGCCTTTCACCTTCTCTGTGGCATGAAGCTCTTACTCTGACCTGTTGGCTAATTACTGCCGCCTGCTGTTACTTTACTGAACTGCAYCTCTTTTTATTTCACAGCAAGGCGAGGAGGAGTGGAATTTACATGTTCTCGACATCTGGGAGGACTCTCCACGAAGACAGTCCATGAGTCTGACTGAAAGTCCTCCCGGATCTGGAAGAGATGGCTGTGAAAAGAGAGGTCTGGACCTCCCTGACCAAGCTGCTGACCCTGAGACCTGACTCTGAAACAAGATGATGGTGGGCAGCACTGTAAATTCACTTAAATGTACTCTAAACTTTCTTCAAACAGACTCTAAATTTATATAAATGTAATTCAAATATAATCTTAAAAATACTGYAAATGTAAATTTTTATAAATGTATTGTAAATTTGCATGTATAAGTATAGTAAAATTGCATAACTGTATTGTAAATTGCATGAATGTATATTATATATGTACACTCTTAAATATACAGTAAATGTACTTAAAATGTACTGTAAATGTATTGTGAATTTACAGTAAATTACCCTTACATGTACTGTAAATGTGATCAACCTTTGCCAACACAGTTCTCTATAATTTAGTCAGATGTACGTTAGTTTAATTGTGATGTGTTTTGCTGAGACTGTAACAACAAATTTTCTTACATCGAGCATAAATATTTATAAAGATCTGTCTAAAGCAAGAGTTCTTTAAAACTCACCATAAGAACATCTTATTCTAAACCTCAGACATAAAAGGCAACGGGCGACACGCACTAGTCAGATTRGCTGAATAAACGCACCTGGTTTAAAACACACCTGGTTTTCCGTCGCCTCTCTGACCTTCATCCTCTGCAAGCTGCGTGCGCGTTCTCGGGTGCGTCGCGCGGTCACGTTGATTTGCTGTCACGAGCTTTATCCGAGCGGTGAGCTGGACGTTTTAACGGACACCGTCTGTTTTAACCAAGTTTAATTTGTGAATGAAAGGCAGCGCTGCAGATTTCTGTCGTCGGTAGTCGGTCAGACTGCGCTGCTGCTCCGGTCAGCTCCGGTAACTGAACGGTAATGCTAACCAGCTAACTAGCTAGCTGTTGGGATAGCTAAACGGTGCGTGACTCGAAGTAACTCCTCATTAAATAGTCGGACATCATTCTAATTAACACRTCTGACTGCAGTCATCTTGGAGACATCCAAACAGTAGGTGTTTTTAACTTTGACCACATATAACCGTAGATGTTAGGCGCTGCCTCCGATCCTAGCGCGATAAGGATTGAATGAAATAACGTTAGCTTGCTGTAGCAGCGGAAACGACCAGCTACCACGGATCGGGTTTTCTCTGCCATCCAGCCGATGCCAGGGCCTCTCAGCCACAAGTAAAGCATCTTAAACTGCTGTCACCCATAAAGCTTACGGAAGCCCCGAGCTGTCCGGTTCGAGTCCAGCGGCTGCCCAGAGTCGGATTGTTTGCCAGAGAAGGCCGGAGTCTGAGGACCGAAAGCTGCCATCATGCCGGCTGTGTCGAAGGGAGACGGGATGCGAGGATTAGCGGTCTTCATCTCGGACATTAGGAATTGTAAGTCACTTTATTTGTTCTGTGAAATTTTTTGTTCTTATACTTTAAACTTTATTTTATCTGAGTGACTTTATTTGTTAGAGACGCTCTATTTTGGTCTGCGAGTGACTCGATTTGGTCCTCGAGTGACTCGATTTGGTCCTCGAGTGACTCGATTTGGTCCTCGAGTGACTCGATTTGGTCCTCGAGTGACTCGATTTGGTCCTCGAGTGACTCGATTTGGTCCTCGAGTGACTCGATTTGGTCCTCGAGTGACTCGATTTGGTCTGC